AGAAGGCGCCAAGACGGCCCAAGAGGCCCCCAAGACAGCCCAAGAGGGCCCCAAGACGGCCCCAAGAGGTGCCCAAGAGGGGGAACCCGAACCGACAATCCGAGCCTTCCGCCCAAAGACGGCCCCAGAAGGCCCCAAGAGGCCCCAAGAGGCCCCCAAGACGCCCACAAGAGGCCCCAAGAGGCCCCCAAGAGGCTCCAAAACGGCCTCACAACGGCCCCCAAGAGGCTTCGAAACTGCCTCCAAGAGTCCCGCGAGAAGCCCCCCAAGAGATCCCAACGATCACCGCACAAGTCTCACATCAACAACCCAGGCACGGTGGCGGGGTTGCGTTTGCGCACGCAATGATTCGCGTTCTCGAGGCCAAAATTGCTCCAAAACGGCCCATGATGGCTCCAAAACGGCCCAAGATGGCTCCAAGACGGCCCAAAACAGTTCGAAGACGGCCCAAAATGGCGTCAAGATGGCCTACAAGGCTTTCACTATCGCCCACGAAGTCTCCAAGAAGACCCCCAAGACATCTGAAAGAGGCGCACATTACGCATATCATTACATTTCCATTGCGTTGTTGAACATGTTTGCACTTGTTGCCTTTTCCCGGCTTCCGTCGGCTCGCGTAGCCCCAAGAGCCTCCAAGATCGCCCCACAACGCCCCAAGAGGGCCTCAAGACGGCCCCAGAGAATCCGAACACGGCCGTGGACGCCTCCCAATTCGGCCTAAGACGACCCCAAGACGGCAAAACCTGCCTCCAAATTGGTCCCAAGCTGATGCAAGACGCCTCTGACCCAAAATCCATAACCCAGAGCCTTGGTTCTGTGTCCCATTCCTCCTTTTCCTCCTCCTCCTCCTCCTCCTCCTCCTCCTCCTCCACCTCGGCCGCCAGGTGGGTTCAGAACTGCTTTCCAGAGGTCCCCGAGAAGCGTGCCGCGAGATCCCTATACACATACAAAAAGCCTCTAACCCATAGCACATCTCCCAGAGTTTCGTCTCTGTGTCCCCGTCCTCCCCCTCCTCTCCTCCTCCTCTTCCACCTCCTCCTCGCCCACTCCTCCTCTTCCTCCCCTGCCTCATCCTCTTCCTCCCCGATTCTTCCCCCCCCACCCTCCGCCTCACCCCCCATCCCTCTCTCCCCCTCCCCCCCTGTCCTCCCCCGCACGCGCGCCCCCGATTGGGCATCATTTGCAGGTCTTGCATATCAGGGTGCCTTTTTTTTGCATCGCGTGCGACGTTGGAGGGGCCCCCGGATAACGCCGACTTCGGTAGTCTTCTCTTGCACGCGCCGCCGCACTGATACGCCTGGCAACTGCGGGCTGTGAACCCGAGGTTCTTGCAGCCTCCGCACACCACTTTCGCTCCTTTCGCCGCTCGATGATCTTCCACTTGCTTACGCTTCAAATGTTCCGTGTCCGAGAACGCTTCTCCGCACGCCGCACACGTCAGTGGCTTCGCGTCTGCCTCGGCTTTCCGCTTGCGATTCGCTGCCTCCGCATTCCCCCGTCGCACCTCTTCCGCGCATTTCCGACAGGGCCTTTCCCCCGCAGCATTGTGCTTCTTCTGAGCTTCCGACATATCCGCCTTTTCGTCATGTAGCGACAGTCACTTACCGTTCGTACATCGCACTGTTCCGACGCTCTGGTTCCACGTCGCGCTGTCTTTCCGCGAGTTCTGCTTGGCTTTGATACCGCTGCACTTCGCGCAGTACATGCCACCATGGCGCTGCCATGGTGGCACGTACATGCCACCGCGGAGGCCCGCAGTCAGGTACAACATAGAATCCCTTGAGACAGTGATGGCGACAACGACGACAATGATTATGACGAGGATGATACCGATGATGATGATGCTTAGCATGATGATGATGGTAGTGATGATAATGATGATAATGATGATGATGATGATGATGATGATGATGATGATGATGATGATGATGATGATGATGATGACGGTAATGATGATGATGGTGGCGATGGCCTCGGGCTCGTAACGTGCCTGGACCTAGCAATGCGAAACAAACCGCGAACGCCTTCTCGGTTCCCAAGCGTGTGAGACTCGTCCCCTCCACAGCCCCGAGGTCCCCCGTGCGGGCTCAGGGATGCCCCAAAAAACAACCCCGCCTCACCAAAGAAGTCAAACCCAGCAAGAAATATACGGGCCCCACTCCAACGCTTCCACCCTTTGGGCACCTCCAGAAAGATGCCAATATTGCATTAGCGTCCTTTCTTTTCCGATGGGCCCCCCAGGGCCTCGAGATGACCCCAAGCGGATTCCACATGGCCCCAAGAGAGGCCATTATGGACCCCTACACGACTCCCCAGCCCGATTCAAGCGAGCCGGCAAGACCGCCAAGATGAGGGGTCGGCGGATGTGGCGTAAGCCTATAGAATCATTGATTTCCCCAAGGTTTTTCAAGGATGTTAGTGTTCTCGCCTTCTCGGGCTTTCGGCGCTCCCAGAAAGCCGAACAGACTCCCAAGATCGCCCCAAGACTGCCAAACAGGCCCCCAAGAACGCCCTAGACAGCGCAAGGTAGCCCAAAAACGGTCCAAGAGGCTCCCAAGACGGCTCAGCAAGGCCCTAACAAGGGTCCATGAACTCTTCCTCCTCCTACTCCTCCTCCTCCTCCTCCTTCTCCATCCTCCCTCCTCCTCCTCCTCCTCCTCCTCCTGCCTCCTCCCTCCTCCTCGCTCCTCCTCCCTCCTCGCTCCTCCTCGTTCCTCCTCCCTCCTCCTCCTCCTCCTCCTCCTCCTCATCTGCTCCCCTGCTCCTCCTGCTTCTCCTGCTCCTCCTGCTCCTCCTGCTCCTCCTCCTCCTCCTGCTCCTCCTGCTCCTCCTCCTCCTCCTGCTATTCCTGCTCCTCCTGCTTATTCCTGCTCTGATCGCTCCCAGACTGGCTCAGCTGGTGCCCTAACAGGGTCCATGAACTCTTCCTCCTCCTCCTCCTCCTGCTCCTCCTGCTCCCTCCTCCTCCGCTCCTCCTCTCCTCCTGCTCTCCTGTTCCTCCTGCTCCTCCTCCTTGCTCCTCCTCTCCCTCCTGCTCCTCCTGCTCTCCTGCTCCTCTTCTCTTCCTGCTCCTTCTCTGCTCCTCCTGCTCCTCCTGCTCCTTCTCTCCTCCTGCTCCTCCTGCTCCTCCTGCTCCTCCTGCTCCTCCTCCTCCTGCTCCTCCTGCTCCTCCTGCTCATTCCTGCTCATTCGTGCTCCTCCTGCTCCTCCTCCTGCTCCTGCTCCTGCTCCTGCTCCTGCTCTTGCTCCTGCTCCTCCTCCTCATCCTCCTCCGCCTCCGCCTCCGCTCCCGCCTCCGCCTCTGCATCCGCCTCCGCCTCCTCCTCCTCCTCTCCTCCTCCTCCTCCTCCTCACTCCTCCTCCTCCTCCTCCTCCTCCTCCCCCTCCTCCCCCTCCTCCCCCTCCTCCCCCTCCCCCCCTCCCTCCTCGCCCTCCCTCTTCCACCTCCCCCTCCCCCTCCACCCTCCTCCTCCTCCCCCTCCCCCTCCCCCTCCCCCCTCCACAATTACACAATATGAATACTACTCTCCCACTTCCCCTGATGGCGTCCGGAAGATGTTCGGCACCCCCCCGCGTACTGTTTTTTTACACACAGGATTCCCCGGAGTTGGGTTTTCGCTTGTGTTTTTTTTCTAAAATGCTGCTCTCGCTGAGGCGCTGGCCTAATTTTCGGGTTCCCGCTCCTTCCGAATCGTGTTCCCGCTGCAGCGCTGGCCTCATTTCCGCGCTCCCGCTCGTTCCGAATCGTGTTCCCGCTGCAGCGCTGGTCCAATTTCTGCGCCTCTCGTTGTTCCAAAACGTGTTCCCGCTGCAGCGCCGACGTTTTCGATCTTTTTTAAGAAGCCCCAAATCTAGAAAATGATCCACGGCAAAAACATTGGAGGTGATTGCACATCCGGTGTCGATTCGTTGATTTCTGGGGCCGCAGAAAGCCCCCCCCCCCTTTTGGGCGGCGCCCTTTTCCGCACAGGATTCCCGGGAGTTTGGTTTTCATCTATGTTTTTGAAAATCCGAGTCTTTCCGGTCCTTCAGAATGTTGTTCCCGCTGCAGCGTTCGTCCTATTTTCCGCGCCGCTGGTCGTTCCAAATCGTGCTGCCGCTGCAGTGCAACGGTCCCCGGCCCCATGCTATGATATGTTCCGCTCCAGTGGCGTTTTTCGGCTCTTCAACAATGGTGCTCCCGCTGCAGCGTTGGTCCCATGTATGCGCCTCTGCTCATTCCAAATCGTGCTGCCGTATTGTTTTCTTGGCACTACGGCACTCTTCGGCTCTTCAACATGTCGCTCCCGCTGCAGCGTCGGTCCCATTTCTGCGCCTCTGGTCGTTCCAGATCGTGCTGCCGCTGCAGCGCATGCGTCCCGCGTCCGCGATTGGCAATTTCTACCTCTACCATTACTCAATATGAATGCACCTGCATCGTCGTCTGCGTCTTTGTCGCGATTGGCAATTTCTACCTCTACCATTACTCAATATGAATGCACTTGCACAACTCTGACATCGGACCCACTCTACCATTACCCAATATGAATGCTACTCTCCTTTCACCCCTGCAGAAATTTGAAATCCGGGTG